CACACAAAGTGAAGTCTAGTGGATGGAAAGTAAGTACCCCATACTTTTTTTTTTTTTTAATATTTTTTATTTTATTTTATTATTTTTGTGTGCGTGTACCGTCAAATCAGATCTGACTGGTACAGGAGGAGATTGCCCCTCCTTCCCCGGCAAAGCATCTGGTGGATTCGAACCGTGCACCTCTGGGATTGTAGCCCATACTTTTTTATATGCACATTGCTGGAGGCCATGATTGAAAGCTACCAAAACAGCATGACAGACGCTCCTGTGACTTTAACTTAAGAGTTGAAGGTAGGATATTGATTTTGTGAGTTATGTTATTCCAATTAACACAGGTGTTCTTTAAATCTGTATTCTTAAGCCTCCCAGCCCAGTGGCTCATTTTCTGGAAGTGTTTGGTCATGCATAATACGTTTTCCTAACTTTACCACTGGAGCTCTGGTGGCCTGACCTGTAAGGAGGTACACTGTTAATCCTTTCTGGGAAGAGGTTCAAATCTACCAGTAGTTCTAAGGACAAAAGATGCACAATCACCTTTTCTTGCAATTAATTTATAGCCCCAGAAACCCAAGGAGGGTCAGCTCTGAGTCGATTCTGACTTCATGACAATAAGAGAAAAAGAGATGAAGAGGGAAAGAAAGCGGCAGAGAAATGCCCTACAATATCCGTAGATAAGGAATCACATTCTGATGTATCTCGTCTGAATTATTATGTCAGCCACTTAGGGGAGCACTGGTGGTGAGGAGCTGTGCTGCAAACCCAAAAGCACCCAGTTCAAATCCACCAGCTGTTGCATAGAAGAAAGATGGACAATCTCCTTCTGTGCAATTTACAGCCTCTGAAAACCATCTGGAGGGTGGGGTATGAGTCAGTTCCAACTCCACATAACAACAGAAGCATAACAATCAGCCATTTAAGATCAGGGGTGGAGGCAAAGGGAACAAGTTGGGCTGTGGAATGTCTTGAACCAGAACTCTGTGACTACACATATGAAATCTGACTTTCCACCATGGATCCAGGAAAAATCCGTGGCCAACACTTGCCGCTAAATCAGAGAAAGAAAAAGTTACCAAAAAAGAATAGATGATGCCAAGTGCTGCTGAGCTGTGGGGTGGTGGGTAGGAAGATGGTGATGAGAAAAAAGATGCAAGTTGATGTTGACAAGACACTCTTAGTGATTGATGGAGATAAAAAGTCTGAGTGGGCTGAAGAGAAATTAGCAGAAGGGTGTGGAGACTGAAGAGTAGAAAACTCTTTGGATATATAATCCTCAAAGCTGCCTCTCCTACTCTAGGGTTGATTCCAGGAAGAGATGGGCTGGGACGATCGGGTGTAGGAGAGTTGTTGGAGGCAAAGAGAGGCAGAAGCCAAAGCTTTTCGCCCTGGGTGAGGCTGGGTCAGTCCCTGTGTTCCCATCCTGCCCTGCTCAAGGGGCAAGTCAGACTGTTCTGCAGCACACTTTCCCTTTGATTTATACACACCGCCAAGAGAACAAACAAGTCTGTTCTAGAAAGGGTGAAACCAAGCTTCTCCGAGGTGAGGATTTTGAGGCTGTTTCACATACTTTATTTGGCACATGGCCAGGAGGGACCAGTCATTGGAGAAGGACATCATGCTTGGAAGGGTGGAGGGACAGCTCAGGAGAGAAAGACCCTGGATGAGATGAATTGATACAATGACTGGGATAGTGGAGGGGGGTGTGCCAGAGGCAGTGGGACTGGCTCAGAATAGGTCAGACTTCAGAGCTGTTGTACATATAGGGGTTGCTATGAGTCGAGGGCACATAACAACAATCACAGAACACACAAGTCTGTTTTGGATGAAATACCACCAAAGTGCTCCTTAGAGGCAAGGATGGTAAAACTTGGTCTCACATACACTGGGCATGTTTTCAGAAGAGGCTAGTCCTTTAGAAAAGAGAACAAATTGGGGAAATGGAGGGTCAGAGAGAGGAAGGGCGACTCTCATTCAATATGACACAGTAACTAGGAGCAGAGATGGTGAGAACGACACATGATAGAGCAAGGTTCAGATCTCTTTATGGGGTCAGTAGGGGTTGTAGGGGACTTGGTGGCAACAGCAACACTCCAGGTGTTAATGTCCGTTCTCCAGGGCGAAGTGGAGGTGAGCTCAGACTGACTTGAGCCTCAAGGCTTGTTTATTTGACATTAAACCTGCAAGCAGGGGGCCATGTCCAGGGCACATGCAGTGCTTAGGCAAGCATAGCAGCCTCCTGGAGCAATGGAGGCCGAGCCCTCAGGCTCCTCTGGATCCCGGTCACCTCGCCCGGTGCAGCACCCCGCTGCCTCCGCCTTGCCCCTGAAGCATCCTTCTGATCGGGCGGTAGCTGGGGCCCTGCTCCTCCTCTCGGGTGCACAGGCCGCCCCACGCCTAACTCTTGGCCGGCACCCCAACTGTCCTCTTTAAGGTCAGGGAGAACAAAGGCCAAGTCTCTGTCCCTCGGGGACGAGAGGAAGGTAAGGCGGGAATCGCTGCTAGTTTGGAAGCCTGGGGCGCACCCCGGGACTCGCCCAGTCTAAGAGGGAGGAAGGCCAGTTTAGAAAGAAGCTGGGAGGCACGACCTTGACCCCCGGGGGAAAGCCAAGGGCGCCACAGGGAGCGAGAGAGGCCGGGAGACGTACCGGCCGCGGGAAGAGGTCCATGCTCCCGGCATAGGGCGTGGCCCAGGAAAAGCGCGCCTGCTCGTCCAGTCAGTCCGGGCGCGCTTCCTGGAGGAGGAGAAGGAGGGTTTACCTCCCAGCTCTCGGGAGAATGGAAGGGGCGGGGAGGATGGCGGGTGGGGCCGCGCGGAGGCACCCCCGCCGGGGGAGGGGTTCGGGGGAGGAGACCAGGGGAGGGGACCTGGAGTCCGCCACACACATAAAGCCGGCACAGCGCTGCACCCCCGGACTCCAGTCGCTCGGCGTGACGGCCTTCGCTCACGTCCCTGCAGCCCTGGCCCGGGAACTCCGGGTGCACACGCTCCGGCGGCGTCTTCACGGGTAAGGGCGAGGGACGAGCAACAGGACCCACCCCCTCGGAGGCTCTGCCCTTGCGCGGGCCCCGGCGTCTCTCTGAGTGGCATTAGGACCCAGGCGCTGCTCGGGGGTGTGTCGCCCGCTCCCGCCGCTCGCGAGCCCGGGACGCGAAGTTTGGGGTCCGAGCGCGAGTAGCGCATCCTGGGCGTGCACTCGTGTGTGCAGCGCTTCGGCCGCGGCCAGCAGGCGCTGGTTCCGATCGCAGCCCCGTGGTGGGTGCCGGGGCGCCGCCCGGGTGTCTGCGGGGATGGTGTGTGGGTCTGCGGGCGCGGGGGCGCCGGGGCCGGGAGTCAGGACCGGCGCGAACTCGGCCGCGAGAGGGCGAGCGCCCCGGGGGACGAAGGGGCCCGCCCGGCCGGCTTGCTGAGCCCGCGCGCTCCATCCATGCTTTACCGACGCCTTCTTTTTAGAGTCTTGAGGTTTTTTAGGTGAATGAGGTGGGCGGAGTTGGGGAGCCCTCCCGACGCCCCTTGGACCCCTCCGGCACCGGTGCGGCAGGGGAGCCCACCCACTCGTGGTGGGACCTCGGACCTCGAACCGTGCCCTGCACGGGAGCAGCAGTCTCTGCCCCGAGCGCCAGCTCGAGGTCCCGGCCCGGAACTGGGATTTGCCGTGCGGTTTACCCGCATGTGCGGCGCCAGGGATGGAATGAGGTATCCACCATCCCTTCTGAACTGTCGCCTCGCTCGTCCGCTGTCCATCCCAGCACCTTCCCTGCCCGCCCCCGCTGGGATGCAGCCTCGGTGCCTGCCCTCATCCTGCATCCTGCCCCCCCCCCCAAACCCCAGAGTCTGAGTCTGCAGGCCCTCCCGCCGTTTCCTTCCTGCACAGCGCGGCGCAGATTCGCAGCGCCATCGGGGTTCCACGCCGGATGGGGCGAGAGGGCTCACGAGGCGACCCTGCTGAGACCACCCCCCCCAGACCCGCGCCCTCTCCCTACACCTCCCCTCTGGACCCGAAGGGCGCAGTAACGCCGAGGGGAGGAGGCAGTTGCTGGGTCGGCCACCGCGTGACCCCGGGCGTGGGAGAAGGGGCGCGCCATCCGTGTGATGAACGTTTCTGGCTCTAGGCCTGGGTCTCAGAGTAGAGATGCGTCCCAGGAAAGACATGTACCGCAGGATGGACATGAACTTCAGGAGACAGATCTCACTCAGGAGATGGATCTCATGCAGGAGTCACGTTTCCCTCAGGAGACAGATCTCCTTCAGGAGCTTGATCTTCAGGAGAGAGCTGTACCTCCTCTCCTTCAGGAGCCTGATCTTCAGGAGAGAGCTGTACCTCCTCTCCTTCAGGAGCCTGATCTTCAGG